TTAATGGGTTATTATAGTCTCAAATTGTTCAGGCTTCTTGGTCTGTCTTGTCTGTCTGTGCTTTGCCTTGATACTGGCATATTAGGTAAGGGAATGGATTCTGGAACATTTGATTTCTTACTTTTATCGTCCAATGTTGCTTCTTTTAAAGGAGCATAATCTTGAAATTTCACCTCCCCAGGTTTTATCTTCTGTGACAGTTTCAGCATAGTGTCAGGAATATCATTTGCTTCATATGGCTTGATTTGGTCATGATGCCATACCTTGGGCTTGGATTTTGGTGAGCCCTTTAAAAGGAAAAGCAGGTCGCTGTATTTCTTTACAACATACATGTATGGTCCCCGCCATGGCTTATGTTTTGGACTTAAACCTACTTTCCTGGTTATGTCTCTAACATAAACAAAATCACCTGGTTGATAGGTGTTCAGGGGAATTCGGGTATCATATTCCTTCTTTTGTCTGTCCAAAGCTGTATTGAGATGGGTTCGCACAAGAGTGGAAATGGTGTCCATTCTCTCCTTTAACATACTCTGTCTCATTCGCTGGAGTCTCAGGTGTACTCCCATAATCAAGGCTTCTGGAAGGTGTATTTCCTGGCTGAGCATACATGTTAGGGGTCTAATTTGTTTGTATATGTTTACAGCATCTGTAGCTCATTGTTAAAAGATTCAAATGGATGTCCCGGTCAAGTTGATTGTCCGACATCATTTCCGGGGACATGATAGAGTCAGCTATGTGTCTCGTGCCACCCTAGTGAGAGATATTGGGAACACTGGGAACTACCGGAACTTAGCAAAACATTCAAAAATCCAATTACTTATACATGGCAGTGATGCCATATCCGTCAACGATAATTTAACTATTTTTACTCACGTACAGAAGTTCATTGAACACACCCAGAGATTCATCTGACATATTTATTTAAGTTTTATTTAAGTTTACATGCTATTTGTAATATATATATTGTAGAACCCTAGAGGGTTATAATGGTACTTGTACACTGTTACCTTCTAGGTTAAATAAAATGATTAAAAAAAAAAGTAACCTGCAAACCTCCTTAAAGACCTCCTTAAAGATAGCTGATAAAAATTACATAATTACACATTAAGAACTAGCCTATCACAGATGGGCTCACTTTCCTTATATAGATAACTGTAGTGTTTACTGGGCATAATGAGCTATGCACATGTTATTTGGCGGGGTTTTATATCTTGAAGGATGCCTATTAGATGGAAGATAACAGGGAATTCATTTAACTTTAATATACTGTATAATGATCAATGACCATCTCAGTAATAGTTTCTTTATTCAAAGTATAACTATCCATATAATCACAAGTAGTCCATTATTATAACATAGTTGGTTCAATCAATATCTATTGTGTGAACTCGCAAATCTCTTGCAAAGTGAGTAGCATCATAGAAGTAGTATTTTTGTCATGATATGCTTATTGGTTTGATATAAAAATATTCATAAACTCTTTTGTAAGAGGTGGTAGCCCTTAAACTGCTGTGAATGTTGTATTTGATGAGATGATCTAGTCCTATTCCCACTTATGTCCCATATAAGGCACATTCTGTGGGTTGGGGTACAAGCTACGAACAATGTCTATAACACAACTTGGAATAAGTTCTCTCCTGTGATACAGAAAGTGACGGAAATGTGGATGTTGTCGTAGTGCTAATGCTTTACGCCTCTTGTATGTGTTCTTCATCCATAGACCCTTGTTTCATATCATTCCCCAAAAGTTCTTGTAATGTGTTTTTCGAAGTGATGAATTGTCAAGATGGGGGTATGGCATTGACTGTGGGCCACCAGCATTGTTGCATTGTTTCATGTGTAATGCATGGATCCTGCAAACAGTGGATACATCTAGAATCGCCTTCATCCTCGCTACTCGATGGTTCGTCATCAGGTTCACCATCTGGGGGGCTATTACTCGGGGGAGGGGCTGATGGGGAAACATCCTGGCCTGTTGCTTGGCAAAAAACATCCTCTACAGAAGCTTCTTTCAGTTCCCATTTTCTAATCTTGAAAAGTTCTTGTATTGCCTTTTTTGTCTTTTATCTAACCAAAATGATTGGATACTATGATTTGTTGCCATGTCTTATGACTGACTACAAGTTGTTTTGAATATCTACATAATTGGGATCTTCTTGAAAACAGGAGTTGAAGCAGGTTTAGAAGTTCAGTGGAAGTTTATAGGGAACTTCTCATAAATTTGCTTAATTGATTATTGATCATGGTATGAGCCAATTCTTCGGAATTCTTGAAACCCTGACAAGTTTCCAACAATCCCCAAATCAAGAGTATGTCTGGAGATTTTAATGTCCCTTTCATCCAAGGAAATGAAAGCAAACAAGGACAACCAGAGCCAAGACAAATGTTCTACATCAGGAGAGGTTGAGTAATACTGTGGGGTTGTTGAAAGAAATTATTCAGGGAGACACCCCAGCCCAGGATGTTCTGGTTTCTAACCTATATCAATCATAAAGTACATGACTTGAACATGTACACCAACTTTCAGTGAGAAAATTTGAACCATCCTTTATAATGTTCAAATGGTAAATCACTTATGACTGAATGTATCTCCCTCCCTTTACTTTCATATGTCAGTTCTCTAAGCAACTACATCATGTCTCAACCATCAGCAAATAAAAAAGTTTAAAGGAAATCAGCATCATTCAAAGTTGAACTTCCAGGAGATGATTCCATTAAGCAGAGGCTTTATAACAAGCTTGGTGAAGTAAAACACAGACTGAGCAGATTCAGTTTAGCAACTAATACAGATGCAATAGAGAAGGCACTATTAAAAACCTCTGCAGAAGGTCTTTCCTTTTGATTTTGAATCACTGTTTTTCTCCTGTTTAAAGGTTCATCAAATTGCAAACCAGGATCCTCAGGAGACCTTATCACATTACCAATGTGATCTGGAGGGTTCTCTTTCACACTCCAAACAATTGTTGACAGTTTACCAGTTGTCTACTTGACAGGTGTCATATTAGCAACCAGGCAGATCATCATTAGTAAACAGTGGGCCATGAATCGAAAAAGATCTACCATTTGGAAGATAAGCCAGCTGATAATTCCATTAGCTAAGTGTGCATGATGTGAATGTCCAGCTACATCTTCTTGGCTTACTTTGATGTTCCTTATAGAAGTAAGTGGCAAGGTATCGTCTGTGTCCTCTAAAAAAGTGGACCAAAATTTATGTTTCTTCTCACATTCCTTACAGCCTACACAGGGGAGCTCACTAAAGGGTGTTGTTCCATCATAACAGTCACATTCAATAGGGTCACAGGGAACCCTAGGCAGCATATCCGCATTTGAATGCTTTTTGCCTTTACGAAATTGTATACGAAAGTTATAAGGTGCTAAGGCCTCTATCCATCTACATATCTGATAGTCAGGATTTCGAAATCTCATCAACCATGTGAGGCCTGCATGGTCAGTTCGCACAATGAACTCTCTTCCCAGAAGATAATGTTTAAAGTGCAGAATAAAGGTAACTACACTGAGCAGTTCCTTTCTAGTTGTGCAGTATCGACGCTGTGTTTTTGTGAGTGATTTGCTCGCAAAATGGATTGGCTTTTCAACCTCCTTTTCAGTATCGGGTCACTTCTGTAACTGGTTCAAGGCGCCACCTATTCCTGTGTCACTGGCATCACAGTCTAATATATAGGTACCATGATTTTGGGGGGAAAAACCATTACTTCATTGCAAGTGAAGGCTGACTTCATGTCCTAAAAAGCATCTTGACAGGCTTGAGTTCATAAAAATGATTTCCCAGCTTGAAGCAAACTATTCAGAGGGCTTGCCCGATTAGCAAATCCTTTCACGAACCGTCGATAATGAGAGCATATTCCCAGAAAGCTCCGAAGTACAGAGACATTTTTAGGTACATGATGCTCTTTGATGATACGTATTTTGTCTTCATTTGGCATGATGCCTTCTCTTGTGACTTTGAATCCCAGAAAATCCCAGATTTAAACAGATCAGTTTTACTGGGCTTGATTTTCAGTCCAGCCTTCTCATTGGAGGTCAAAACTTGACTCAGTTTCTCTATGTGTTCAGACTTTGTGGGGGAGCTTATTATTATGTCATCCATAAAAACCAGGACATCCTGCCAAAGGTGATCACGAAGAATGATTTCTAGACATCTCTGCATAGTTGACAAGGCATTGCATAACCCAAATGGCATCGAGATATATTCCAATAAACCATGGCGATTAACAAACGCAGTTTTCGGTCTATCGCACGGTTTTACAGCAATTTGCCAAAACCCAGACTGAAGATCCATTGTTGAAAATACGCACTCCTTTCTATCGATCTTGTCGCCGAGGGCAGACAAACAATCATCTATCAAGGGTAGTGGATACAAATCTTTTATTGTTACCTCATTGAGTCGTCGAAAATCTACACATGGACGAGTTAACATAAAGGGGTTCCCAAAGTGAGTCCAAATGAAGGGCTTACAAGATACTGTTGATATCGAGTGGAATTCCTTTTCCGTTTTTTACTTTAATCAATCAACTTGATTACACCAGAAGTACTTAGCCAGATTACGTTTATTTCACATCAAGATTAAGAAAAGAGTAAAAGAATATGCATTAGCAATTTGAATATGTCACTTGCATTTGAACAATTGTTATTATTTGTCTTAAAACAATTTTCTTCCACCTTTGTTAAGAAGGTAATCTAGTCAACCATATTTAAGACAATCATCATCTAATTCATGCTTTTTACATTTAAGTGCCTACAACAGTATCGAGTGGAATTCTTTTTCCGTTTTTTTACTTTAATCAATCAACTTGATTACACCAGAAGTACTTAGCCAGATTACGTTTATTTCACATCAAGATTAAGAAAAGAGTAAAAGAATATGCATTAGCAATTTGAATATGTCACCTGCATTTGAACAATTGTTATTATTTGTCTTAAAACAATTTTCTTCCACCTTTGTTAAGAAGGTAATTTAGTCAACCATATTTAAGACAATCATCATCTAAGTCATACTTTTTACGTTTAAGTGCCTACAAACAAATAAAGAATCCAAAATTTCCTATATCTGGTCATGCATTTGGGAAAAAAGGATGTTACTATTATAGAAATCTATGGACTCATGAGTAAAAAGTTTATTATATCCATCGTCGCTTTCCACTGGGTCTAGAGACTGGTTACATCGTGCGTTCTTCCACTTATTTTCGAATAAATCTGTACATTTGCAGTTGATGATGTCGTCTTTTTAAATTGTTTAGGACTGGTTGTTGGGTATGTTTGCTTTGTACATCTTTTAGGTGTTAATACATTCTGTGTTCTATTGATATATGTTGAAAATTCTTTGACAATCAAATTTGTTCTAGTCTCCCAATTAATAATTGTGTTCACTTTGTCGAAACAAGGCCTGCATACCCTAATTTTTGGCTCAGATTTAAATTTTGAAAATAATGAAATAATCTTTTGCCATTTTTCTGTTTCTTTAATAATATGTCGAAACTTCTTCAAATCATTTGATGACTTTGGTAATTTTCCACACAGGTTACAGCTCTGATCCATGTCTCACACAGTTTCCATAACATGGCGGCACCTGAAATATCATTTGGATATTATATTCAACTTGTATTCATAACGTTTCTGTAGATCTAGGCTACTTATTATGTAGCTACAGGGGCCTTAGGTTTCTCTAGATGTGATTGCAATTGTCACTCTGTCCATTGAAAATTTCATAAAAAATACTCGAGACACGATAACAATTGCCGTGATTATGAGTCTCCACCTTCAATGTTTTTTTCATTAAAGTCTCTCTATCAATTTATCCTATGTTATCGTGCCGATGGACCGTATGAGTAACAGAATAAGACTAGGCTCTATTGGCAAAAAATATATGATTTTTTGGCGTTATTTTTCTTTTCCCAAGATTCAATTACTTTTCGATTGTAAATTCACAGAAAAAGTTTCTCAAATAAAGGGCTATACAGTTGTTTTTAATAAACGTTAAATTTTTGAGACTAACTTACCTGGAATAGCTCACAATGATCGGGTTTATGCGGTCAATTCTGAATCTATTTCCTTTTTGATAATTTAAATGTATACGGGCTGAATAAATCTTTCACCGATGATTGGTCAACAAATTAATTGTGGCGTCTCATAGACCTCTGCTGCAACTGCGCGGAGAGGAGCGATTGAGAGTGAATTCAGCTGGGGTTTATTTACACAGTCCTCAGTTAATTCGGCCAGGTTTATCAAGGTGAGGTAGGAACAATCGAAACCTTGTGAATCAAGATGTATTATATCTCTTTATTTAAACTATGAAAATCACCACTATGTACTGTCATGTCATTTTTCCGTGTCATTTGTCATAATATATTGCTCTTCATGTCATTAAGTTCAAAACAATGTGAGCATTTATCTTTGCAATGAAATGAAAACAGAAAGTAACTTTTTATTGGATTGCCCAAAATGTTTCCTAATTGATCAAGTTGAAAACAAATGATTACTGACAGAGGTTAATGTGTATAAAAGGTGTAAATACACAGGGTATATACCTATGTTCTTTGTTTTTCAACAAAGTGAATACATATATCTGTTATAGATATACAGTGTCTCTGTAGGACCTCCTCTTATGTATGTTATTGACTTCATTGTGGTCCATAGCTAATTTCAGCAGTTGAAGTGAGTTGAGACTCCAGTATAACCGGACTGGCCATTTACCATATTTGGAGTATGGGCTACAACCATCATTTTTAAATAAGCTCTGTATAGCCCATCGCATGTGGTCCCCTCCAATAATCTCAACTACAAAAATAAATGGCGACCATCTAGGACTGCCTCTATATTAGTGGGCTTGTTAGGAAGGTGACCTATCATGACAGTAAAGCAGGCCTTAGTCTAATATCATAACTCGAAACCTGACGGATTCCTTAATGAGAGTTAAATTGCTTAACAGTTTTTTTTCTAAAATCCCTCTCCTTCTTTTCGCTTAAGTATTTGATTCCTGAAGATTTTGAAAATCATTTAATTGTCCTCAGTTGTCTCCATGATAAATTTGCTCTACATTTCATGGACATAAGAAACGGGGTCTCATCACAGTTCTTTCAATCCCATAATAGCTCTCCATCCTGAAGTAATAATTTATGAATCATAAATATCAACAACTAAATCAAATAGAAAACGGCAACTCCACAGAGTTGCAAATGTCAATCAACAAAACATTTTTTAAAAACCGCCATCTTGAAATGTTTTTGTTTTGCACCCACTCTTACAGCCACACCCCCTTGTTAAATATGCTACATTAGTTTTAATTTTTCTCAACGTTTCCTGGACTATACCACTTGTATGACACTTTTCCCTCTTGGACTAAATAGCCATTTTCTACAATGCTGGGAAACATGAAGAATGGAGTAAGTGCCTTGGACCAAACTTGTGCTAGCCAGCATGATCTTAGCCAATGGGAATGGCATGTATCATCAGAGGGAAGTATCTGATCCTCATGTGCACCTTTTTGAGATGCCTTACGGATAATATTTAGAAACTTCTAAACTACACCTACGTTCTTTGTTTTTCAAGTGAATACATATATCTGTTATAGATATACAGTGTCTCTGTAGGACCTCCTCTTATGTATGTTATTGACTTCATTGTGGTCCATAGCTAATTTCAGCAGTTGAAGGGAGTTGAGACTCCAGTATAACCGGACTGGTCATTTCTTATATTTGGAGTCTGGGCTACAACCATCATTTTTAAATAAGCTCTGTATAGCCCATAGCGTGTGGTTACCTCCAATAATCTCAACTAAATGGCGACCATCTAGGACTGCCTCTATATTAGTGGGCTTGTCAGGAAGGTGACCTATCATGACAGTAAAGCAGGCCTTAGTCTAATATCATAACTCGAAACCTGATGGATTCCTTAATGAGAGTTAAATTGCTTAACAGTTTTTTTTCTAAAATCCCTCTCCTTCTTTTCACTTAAGTATTTGATTCCTGAAGATTTTGAAAATCATTTAATTGTCCTCAGTTGTCTCCATGATAAATTTGCTCTACATTTCATGGACACAAGAAAAGGGGTCTCATCACAGTTCTTACAACTCCCATAATAGCTCTCCATCCTGAAGTAATAATTTATGAATCATAAATATCAACAACTAAATCAAATAGAAAACAGAAACTCCACAGAGTTGCAAATGCCAATCAACAAAACATTTTTTAAAAACCGCCATCTTGAAATGTTTTTGTTTTGCACCCACTCTTACAGCCACACCCCCTTGTTAAATATGCTACATTAGTTTTAATTTTTCTCAACGTTTCCTGGACTATACCACTTGTATGACACTTTTCCCTCTTGGACTATATAGCCATTTTCTACAATGCTGGGAAACATGAAGAATGGAGTAAGTGCCTTGGACCAAACTTGTGCTAGCCAGCATGATCTTAGCCAATGGGAATGGAGTGCATCATCAGAGGGAAGTAACTGATCCTCATATGCACCTTTTTGAGATGCCTTACGGATAATGTTTAGAAACTTCTAAACTACACCTAAGTTCTTTGTTTTTCAACAAAGTGAATACATATATCTGTTATAGATATACAGTGTCTCTGTAGGACCTCCTCTTATGTATGTTATTGACTTCATTGTGGTCCATAGCTAATTTCAGCAGTTGAAGTGAGTTGAGACTCCAGTATAACCGGACTGGCCATTTACCATATTTGGAGTATGGGCTACAACCATCATTTTTAAATAAGCTCTGTATAGCCCATCGCATGTGGTCCCCTCCAATAATCTCAACTACAAAAATAAATGGCGACCATCTAGGACTGCCTCTATATTAGTGGGCTTGTTGGGAAGGTGACCTATCATGACAGTAAAGCAGGCCTTGGTCTAATATCATAATTCTAAACCTGCCGGATTCCTTAATGAGAGTTAAATTGTTTAACAGTTTTTTTTCTAAAATCCCTCTCCTTCTTTTCACTTAAGTATTTGATTCCTGAAGATTTTGAAAATCATTTAAATGTCCTCAGTTGTCTCCATGATAAATTTGCTCTACATTTCATGGACACAAGAAAAGGGGTCTCATCACAGTTCTTACAACTCCCATAATAGCTCTCCATCCTGAAGTAATAATTTATGAATCATAAATATCAACAACTTAATCAAATAGAAAACGGCAACTACACAGAGTTGCAAATGCCAATCAACAATTTTTTTTTAAAAACCGCCATCTTAAAATGTTTTTGTTTTGCACCCACTCTAACAGCCACACCCCCTTGTTAAATATGCAACATTAGTTTTAATTTCCTGGACTATACCACTTGTATGACACCTTTCCCTCTTGGACTATATAGCCATTTTCTACAATGCTGGGAAACATGAAGAATGGAGTAAGTGCCTTGGACCAAACTTGTGCTAGCCAGCATGATCTTAGCCAATGGGAATGGAGTGCATCATCAGAGGGAAGTAACTGATCCTCATGTGCACCTTCCAATAATCTCAACTATAAAAATAAATGGCAACCATCTAGGACTGCCTCTATATTAGTGGGCTTGTTAGGAAGGTGACCTATCATGACAGTAAAGCAGGCATTGGTCTAATATCATAACTCTAAACCTGACGGATTCCTTAATGAGAGTTAAATTGCTTAACAGTTTTTTTTCTAAAATCCCTCTCCTTCTTTTCACTTAAGTATTTGATTCCTGAAGATTTTGAAAATCATTTAATTGTTCTCAGTTGTCTCCATGATAAATTTGCTCTACATTTCATGGACACAAGAAAAGGGGTCTCATCACAGTTCTTACTCCCATAATAGCTCTCCATCCTGAAGTAATAATTTATGAATCATAAATATCAACAACTAAATCAAATAGAAAACGGCAACTACACAGAGTTGCAAATGCCAATCAACAATTTTTTTTTAAAAACCGCCATCTTACAGATGATGTTTAGAAACTTGGTTGAATAACATTCCTTGAAATCATCTTCTGGACTTTCATACTTGTTTAAACTCTTGTTAGAGTAAAAATACAGATAAGGTACAGGTAATAAGCTTGAAAAAAGCTTGACGTTCATCAGGGTTTGTATTTTTATAATTGCATCCAGGGTCACAAAAACCCCTTCCTCCTCTTGCATGTTTTTGTAGCACCAACATGCAGATGTTTTGCAGCCACTCTTGTTAAATATGCTACATTAGTTTTAATTTTTTTCAACGTTTCCTGGATTATACCACTTGTATGACACTTTTCCCTCTTGGACTATATAGCCATTTTCTACAATGCTGGGAAACATGAAGAATGGAGTAAGTGCCTTGGACCAAACTTGTGCTAGCCAGCATGATCTTAGCCAATGGGAATGGAGTGCATCATCAGAGGGAAGTAACTAATCCTCATATGCACCTTTGTGAGATGCCTTACGGATGATTTTTAGAAACTTTGTATGTTGGTATCTTATAACAGGCCTTGAAATCATCATCTTGACTTTCATAGTTGTTGTTTAACTCTGTAAGAGTAAAAATACAGACAATCAATAAGCTGGTTAAGGGGCTAGAGAAATATCTATTGGCAAGAATGCTGAATGTTTGAGATTCTGTAACTAAACGCACAATAGTAAATACAATCCTAGAATCATGTCCGACTGTGGTAAAGGAGGAAAAGTAATGGGAAAGTCCAAAGGAGGCACAGACCATCACTGGAAATTCAAATTGATTTTTTGTCATTTTTGTTAGAACTTGATAATTATCCGAGGATAAAGCAAATGGGTCATCAAAGTTAATTTTTTGTTTGATTTCTTTTTAAAATGTTTCTTACTTTTTTTCAATATTTCAACAAGTTCGTCTGTTCTCAT